AATAATCAGGATAGAAAATCACTTACAAGAATCACCGCTAAGACTAAAGTGCACAGCATCATGTGTAGGAAATGGTACCCTCATTCCGATCTGCTGGAGTTACTAGGTGGTGCAAAGGATTAATGCTCTCAGCTGGTAACTGAAAGGGTGGCAGATCAAGTCCACCGAGAGGTGCCTCCAAAAAAAGGGCTGCCAATCCACTCCTGAAAAATCAGCCACTGAAAACTCGATGGAGCACGATTCTACTCCGACACACACGGGTCACTATGAGTCAACTGATCTGATGGCAACTGGTTTGATTCTTGGTTTTTCAAATTTGTTAACATAAGGTTAACAGCTGCCCACGAAGGATTTATTAATACCTTTAAACAATGTGTGGCAATGCAAGAATGAACGCAAATAATTACCATCACCTGCTCCAAAGAAACATTTCATTTTCTTGGAAACAGCAAGGAAATCAACAGACATTCTGGGCAAGACTGGATCCAGAGTGACCACTTTAGAAGAAAACTACAGAGAACTTCTATTACCTGGTAACCAAGATGCTAAGTAGGCAATATATGAAAGAAGAATCAAGCCTATTCTCCTACGATATGTACCCAAATAGACAGAAGTGGCTGAGGCAAACATTCACAATCAGAGCAGTATTCTTTCAAACAATCTAACTCTTGCACATATCCCTAAGTTGTCAGTTTCCTGAAGACTTGCGGGGTGAGCCTCTAAAATGGAGCTTCTTCAAAGACACCAAGAAAAAAACTGCTGCTCGAAAGGCACTAAAACCTTCAGTTTCAGCCACAAAGTTCTGGTGATTTGCAGATATCGCTTTAAATGCTTGGGTTGTGGGTGGAGCATCAGGGAAGAAAAATCCACGTAGGCGGTCAGTGTTTCACAGCTTCCATGATATAAGAGGACGACTCCCACAGGAGCCGCGGCCACGTCACAGAGTGGCGGGAGGGTGGATTAGTCCGCCTCTCTCGCTGCTGTAAGGCAAACCTGCCACCATCCCCCAAAACTGATAAAACTACCCAAAAAAGAACTGGCTTGACGTTAACATTTTCTTTGTTCATATTTAAATATGTTTTCAATAATAAAAAATGTTAAGGACCTTTTGTTTCCTCAAAAATGTCTTTTTCTCCTTCCCGTTTCTGAAGGGTCATCTACAGGGAATATTCGCTAAGAAGGTCACTCTCTAATTTAAAAATGTATAAAGCAAAAGGTGAATAAAATTAGTTGCTGAAGAAAGCATATCGACAATTTCCCTGTTTGAATATGCTTTATATACAGCCGTTTTGGACACTTTGGATTTAGCCACTGTGCTTGAGTAAGGGGAGCATGTGCCACCTGAAGCAGACAAATCTAGCTAACCAAGGAAGCTGTGTAATTCAAAATATTTAAATCAAGCGAGCCTGACAACTTATGTTCGCATAATCTTTTAAAAGGAAGAGGTTTTAAATGTGTATAAGGATGCAGAGAATGTAAACACAACGTATGTAATATATGTGAATATACTTAGCATATAGTACATTTTTATTTCTAGGCTATTTTTTTGGAGAAGCTAAAAGTTGCCATACATTTGTTTTGAAATTGTACAATCTCTTTTATAAACACTCGATGAAAAAGGGATAGCAATTCTGGAGAAAATGATGAACTTAGGAGACGTAAGAAAATTCAGATAAGCAGTCTTTACCAAGGACTTCACTTGGTAAACTTGCAATTGGTGTTCTTTTTCTGAGTACGTGTGTTTACAATAAAGGAGCTGAAATTGCTGCATAGGCCACTGAAGTCAAGCCCAATTATTTAGCAAACCAAAGGGTGCCGCGGATAGTACTTAAGCAACACTCAAAAAGCGATAAATGGGCTCACTTTTTTCATACATCTTACAAACGAGGTTCTGACTAGGCTCCACAGGGCTGTGGAAACCATTGTTTAAATGTGTTTACGTACATATTCATATCCAGCTGATTATAAAGTAATTCACAAAATTAAAAATCACTCATATGTTACTGACACCAAACTCCACTAAAAAATACCTATAAGTATATTGGAGAAACTTTTAAAACGTTTATGGATGAAGCAAAGCCGTAATACCTGGATGGGTATAAAGCCTTCTTGTCTTTGAAAAGTTCACTGGCTTCTAGTTTCTCTTCATAAATGAGTTTCTGCTGGTCTGTGAATTGGTCCCTGTATTTTTTACACTGTAAAATATGAGAAGAAAAAAGCAAACATCACTTATCGGGATCACTATCCATTCCTAAGCACACTAAGCCAATTTAACAGCAACAAGAGTGAGTATGTACGAAATGTTCATTTAAAAGGCCAAAACAGAAATCGTAAAACATTTTTCCTTTGTGGGTTTTAAAAAGTTGGTCCTGGAAAATGTCACAGAAGCTATTATTTCTATTGCAGAACTTAGCATATTTCTCCAAAACACACAAGGGCCTAGCTGGCATGGGCCCTGCTAGGAGCACTGTTTCCTCCCACCTATGATGGCAGTTTGTGGAGATCCTTTAGTCCTGTGACTATTCACAGTGAGAAAAACATCGTACATCACAACCCAGTGCACATACTTACACACGCACATATAGACAACTGATACAAAAGTTTTATAAAACAATACTTACCCTTTCTATATGTGCTGCCATTTTCTATTTTATTGTATTCATTAAAAAAATGCTGGTAGTAATCTACTAAATTGATTTCATTACTCACAAATGGGTTAGGACTTGTAGTTTGAAAAATACGTCTCCAAATCCCCTAAGTCCCCACCCCCATCATCATTTCACAAAGTGGACAGGAAGCCTGAGAAATGCTCCCTTCACCCCAATTCTGAGACTGTGCTGAAAGGAGGTAGGGAGTGGTGGGAAGGGCAGGGCCAGGACCTTAGATGAGCTCACTAAGAAATTCAGTTACAGGTATGGTTCGGAACCACTGAAATAACTGTAAAAAGAAATGTTAGCGATGCTGCCCACCTTTTCCACGGGAAGGCTCCCTTCAAGAATAAAGAGCTCTCTCATGCCCTACCCTCAATCCCAGGGAGGTTATAAGGGTGAGATTCAGGAGCCAGGGGAGAGCAGACCCAGAGTAGACCCCTGACCCTAGCAGCTCCCTCCTGTTACTTCTGAAATGAGTTTCTGTGTCAGACTTAAAAGGGGAGGTGACCAACTGAGAGGTTGGTGAACCTCGCCATGTTGACTCACTAAACTAGGGGACAGAACTCAGACTCTAGTTCCCTATGTTATGCTGGTACCATTCATTATACCAATTAGCGATAATGTTACTCTCTATATATTTGTGACTCTGATACATAAGGAACACGCCAACACTGCTGGGCAGGGAAGAGCTTTCTGGAAGATGTTTCCATTGATCCTTCATTTACTAAATACAAGCCCTCCAGCTTAATGATTTTATTACTTCTGGTATTTGTATATATTTAACATTATATATATCAACTGAACTAAGTGATCGCAATAAAGTTGACATCTATACAAGTACCCCATGTGCTCCATGCGGGGCAACACCTAAATTATATGCTGAGCTCTCATATAAAATTATGTAAGTCAAAATATAAGGTATTATAAGACAGATTTTCAGCTTCCCTTTAGTTTAGGTGGAGGACAATTTAATGTCTTTTGGGGACTTCGAAGTCTTTTTTACAGTCTATCATACACAGTATGCCTGTGTAGTCAATAAATCTTATGAAGTAAACTCATACAATTTCCAGGATTTAACTACACTGTCTGAAGATGTTCAAATTTTATGATTTCTGTCTCCTGTAGAATTTCTCAGGTAAAGAGAACAGAGAAACAAAAAACTAAACTACTTGAAAGCAACGAGAACCTGAAAGGGGAAGACAATCCAATTCTGCGCTCCCCTTCCCACCCACTATAAGAGCAGACTGCCATAGGGAACACCTCAGCTGCTGCAGGATTTCCCACAGAAAGCCAAATACAGTGCATGGCTCAAAAATACCAAAGTCCTCGAGTAATTCTCTTTGAGGCCAGAGAAAGAATGTGTTAAAAATGTGCTTTCAAGTAACATTCCTCAAACACTCAAAATATATGATAGCAAGTTTCTGAAAAAATACAGCAAGACATCGTTTACCCTCCACAAGTGGAAAATCCTTTTTAGCTCCTTGTGAGTGGAATCCAAGAATAGGTAAGGTCTGGACGGCCAGTTCTTGTCTACTGGAGATAAGGAAGGCATCTTATTTTTCATTTCCAAGAAGTATTTTTGCACCTGGGTTGAGTTTGAAAGATGATACTAGATTAGTAAAATACAGTAGAAAATATATTATTTTACATATGCTATGATCAATAAACAAGCCAGTCTTTAGTGGAATTTAGCATGTTGTAGTCCATAAAACTTTGTAACTCCTCTGGAAAGTTTCTGTTCCACTTTTCATATGAACCTGAATGACTGAGAAAGAAAACTGATACTAACCCCAACACCAGCTAACACTAGAGGTGGGTTGTCTAAACAGGGAGTCTCCAGTCACACGTGACTATTTAAATTTAAATTAAGTAATTAAAATTAAATAAAGTTAACTAAAGTTCCTCACTCATATTAGTCACATTTCAAGTGCTCAACAGCCACGTGGCTAGTGGTTACTGCACTGGAGCACACGGATACAGAACATCACAGAAAGTTCTATGGGATAGCGCTGCTCCAGTGTATTTAATATGTGCCAGGTACTGTTCTAAGAGCTTTATATCACAATTCCATTTTCATCTTCACAACTCTGTGAGGTTCGTGCTATTATTGTTCCCATTACAGATGATGAAACAAGGCTCACAGAAGTTACGTAACTTGGTCAAGGTCACAAATCTAATAAGGCAGAGCAGGCTCCAGAACTTGCACTCCTTGCCACTACATATTACTCCTCTGAAAGCAAAGGGACCCCAGAATCCATGCTGGCAGAGTTGCATAGTCTCACTCATTCACCCCTCCACCCACTAACTTGTTGGCCAGTCTTGCCCTGCTGCAGCTCACTGGAAGTTTAGCAGGGCAAGATCCAGGCTTTCTGGGGTTTACTTTCTCCAAAGTATGTTCTGTCCATCAGAGAAACATTTTATTAATCATAGATGGGCTACTAATAACTCTTCAATGCAATTTTACCTGAATTCTTGGGAAAATGATGAAAAAAGGTTACTACCTCTCAATATCATGGCTGATTTAATCATTCCCAAAGAAGTCATACTGTACTGAGTTGGTACTAATAATGCTCATTAGCCAAATACATCAAGTGTAAACAGTAACTTACAATTCTCTGCAGTGTAAACTCGTAAATTTTCTTTCCAGCATTGGCTCTGAAGAATTTTCTGTACTCCCTACGTACCTTAAAAAAGAGGCAGATGACAGTGGTTAATGTGTGGCTAGCAGTTGCCCTTGAAGATGATACTCCTCGAATAAGGGTAAAACTATGCAGAACAAGTAAATTTATAGTGTCCTTTCTGATGTAGCAAAATAGTTGAAACATATTCAGACAGTGGATTTTAAGTCAGAGAAAAAGAAATGAAGATGCATAAAGTGATAATACCAGAATGTTTTGATGTTTTAAATCCTCTCACGAAATTTTAAAGAGCTGATTATTTGACAATAGCATTTTACAGGCATAGCTGTCAACTCTTCACAAGTTATAATATATTTCAGAAAAATCACATAAGGTAATTTCTGCTTCAAATTCTTTTTAAAAGGCAAAAAATATCTGAAAAACTGAATTTTCCAGAAGCCTTGCATATGAAGATAGGACTTCAGAACTGTACAATGAGAACTGAATGTGGCTAAAAATAAGAATTTTAAAAGAAGCTTTTAAACTACCATTATCTTCCATTTAATTGTATTAATTTTTCTCTCAACTTTACTTCCACCAAACTTTATAACATGATGTTTTAAACGCTGTTACAGCATGAAGTATAGTTTTAGTTTACATATTTCTTCCTTGCTTCACTGTCATATTTATTTCATATACTAATGTCTAACAAATAACAGGAACTAAATAAGGTGTTTGCTGGATCAATGAACGAATGAATGGAGTGACAGTCAAATTTTGAAATTGAGGGGAAAATATCTAAAACGTTTATTAGCATCCAGATATAAATGGGAGAATGAGCACTTAGCAAAACACTAACCTGTTTGAATAATTCAAACATTATATACATTTCTCTTTTGTCTTCAGTTTTCTGGGTTTAACTGCACATGTTTAAAATACTTCTGCATTAGGGGTTGTAAAACTAGCAACTGGCAAACCAAAATCTGTCTGTAAATAAATGTTTTATTTGTGTTTATTTTTTTTAAATTAAGAACTTCACAGAAGAATCCAGACTGCAAATTTCTCTTAAATTTTTCTATGATCTAGGAGCAGCGGGCCCCATTCCCACATGACAAGGACTAGGTGGACCAGAGTAGGTATAGCTGCCTTTAGAAAGGACATGCATGCTCCAAACTGTCTAAGGCCCCATTCCTCCTAATCCTCCTTCTATCTGCTGCTCCCCTCATCTACGTGACCTGCCTGGTCTCTCTGGGCAGCTGAGCCCAGACCCACTCTCTACAACTGAGGATTATTGTTGCTGTTGGTTGCTCTGACTCACAGACACCTTATGTAACAGAATGAAACGTTGCCTGGTCCTGTGCCATCTTTATGATCGCTGAAATATTTAATTTCATTGTTTTGGCCACCGCGTCAACTCATCTCACCAAGGGTTTCACTCACTTTCATCAACTGTGCGCTTTACCAACCACGATATCCTTTGCTAGCTATTGGTCCTTCCTGATGACATGTCCAAAGTAAGCCAGCCAAAGTCTTACCATCCTTGCTTCTAAGGATTATTCTGGTTGTATTTCTTCTAAGACTGATTTGTTTGTTCTTCTGCATCATTTGTTTGTTCTTGTGCATCAAGATTTAAAAATATTTGCCACAAATAACCATACATTTATTTATATTCTACGTTACTGATTATCAGTTCTCTCTTAGCCGTGAAGTTGTTAGATTCATAAATATTTCGAATCTCAAACGAATACAAGGTTGGAAGGGACAAGGAGAAGGAAAATGGTACCTACTAACTGGCTTTCATTTATATAATATCTCTCCTGAAATTCTAACAGCCTAGGAAAACAGACAAGTCAGGATGAAGTTACATGAAACGTATCCTTAAAAATATACTAGAAGTCCTAATATACTTAGTTGAGCCTCATTATAACTGAACTTACTGCAACACGCTTTTTGATATTCCACAGGGCAGGCTGTTTTTCCTGAAATACAGCTACATACAGTAAAAGCCTAGCGACAACATGGCTGACATATAAAATGGGTGCCTCTTGTGCGGACTGGAGTTCTAAAAGGGTCCACTGAACTTTGTAAGGACTTTCACAGAAAGAATCAAATCATTTCAAAGGCTAAAACCACTGCTCATACCAACATAATCCTCTTTCGGAAAAATGTACAAAATGATTATATTCTTGAACTTCAAAAAAGTTTAATCTTATTCACAACAATAATAATGGTAACATATGAAAATAGCACTTCTGTCTAAAGTAAACCCAGTTAACTTTAGCTAAAACAACATTCACCTACAAACTGAATTTGCTTTGTAGGTTGCTAGCACGCACCCCTAAGGTGGAAATTATATGCAGTTAAACCCAGAATACTGAAGGTAAACATGAAGTTACTGGCAGAGACAACAGAGACTAAATATCTTGACTCAATTAGTTTTTTCCCTTCCTTTTATGAAAATTAGAATGCAAATTAGAAAATGTAAATAAATGGGAATATTTTCCAGCTTTAAAAAAAGTAAAAATAATAAAGAGAAATAGTGTCAAAAGTGCCTAATTAGCCCCCAAAAAGGAAATATGAATGGCTTCTTATCACGATTATTGACTGAACATTAGACAGATGAAAATCCTTATGTCATGCCAAAGGTTTTCTAGAACTCAGATGTCATATTTACTTATGTCTAAACTAGTAACCAACATTTTCAAAGAAACCCTGCCTAAATTACAAGGTATTTATTTGAATTGAAAGTTCTCCTTAACTGGAATGATCCACTGATCACTGACTGCAGTCTTGTTCATCAAAATCTATAAGTTTACTGACGCAAAACTCTTCAGTTTCTGTGCTGAACAATCAGAATGACAGTTGCTTTGAGGAAAGTTTGGCTCCAAGCAGTCATCACTGGAGCAGAACAGGCAGATCAACGGAAATAAAAGCCAGGCTGGTCACTGTAGACAGGAGTCGGCTTTTAGCTCAACTACTGTAACTCTATCTCATGGGCTAAAAAAACCAACTTTATACTTACAAAGATAACATAAAATAGAACAAAATATCTAGGATAAAATAAGCTACACTGCTATTATTTTAAACCTATTATTTACAGAAATATACCTCAGTCAAATTAGAAAGTATTAGTGTACAGGTTTATTCTCAAAAAGAAACAAAAATTAGGCAAGATAACATTCTAAAAGACTGTGCAGACCATGAGCAAGCATAATCAATAGTTTTCTCAGTGTTAGTAGGTGCTAGGTTTTACTGAGTTCACCCTGGACAGAAAGAAGTGATTGAGAAAGTACCTTCAGTCCAAGCCAGTAAGCCCAAATGACAGCAACCGCATGCTTACGCCTAGCCTCCTCCTTCAAGCGTTTCAATTCCCTTCGAGCCTAAAATGTTTTAGATAGTAAATAATAGAGACAGCCAATGCAGATAGCACAAATGACCAGAAAAAGATACCCCACCAAACAGAAGAGACAATTTATGAATAAGGATTTCAGAGTGATAGAAGAACAGTGCATAATAATTTAAACCCAAGGAATTAGGCAGGGCCAAGTGGCACCTTAGATGTTCAGTAGAATGAGATTCTGTTCATTCTACCAAAGAAGGCAATCTGTGTGGAAACTGAAGAATTCACCCTCCCTACTCTCATTCTTTCGCTTTTTTCTCCCCTGTCTCTCTCCCTCTTCACTTCCTTCTCCACACTCTCTCGTTCCTTATCAGGAAGTTAGAACTGTGGGTGGTACCTAATGTCTATGAAGGGAAGTAGATTTCCCTTCACTGCCAGCTCACAGGGCTAAAAAGGCTATAGATCCCTGTTTTTTTTTTTTTTGTAATTTTTTTTTTTAATTGTACTTCTGGTGAAGGCTCACAGAACAAATAGTTTCTCATGAAACAGAAGTACACATGTTGTTTTATAACATTGGTTAACAACCCCACAACATATCAACCCTCTAACTTCTCAATCTTTTTTTTTGGTGAAAATACACATAGCCAAAGATACAGCACTTCAAAAATTTCTACATGCACAGTTCAGTGACATTGACTATGCTCTTCCAATCGTGCTGTTCTTCTCAATCCCAACTCCCAGTGACCCTATAGGACAGAGTAGAACTACCCCATAGGGTTTCCAAGGCTGTAAATCTTTACAGAAGCAAACTGCCACATCTTCCTCCCTTGGAGTGGCTGGTGGGTTCAAACAGCCAACCTTTCGGTTGGCAGCTGAGCGCTTTAACCACTGAGCCACCAGGGCTCCTTGGATCCCTGTTAGCACTCATTAATTTGAAAGTATAAAAAGACACTCTTGTGTCTTTAAAAAATTGGGAGGAGCAAAGGTTGTTTCTCTGAAGTGCAAACAAAAACCAAAACTCAAAATTCTTTCCAGTTTAAAAAAATTAGAAGTAACGTATAAAAATTCAATTATTAACTAAGGTCCCAAACAGTAAAATATTCTGCAGATTGAAACAAAACAAAAAGTGAAACAATTTACAGGTTTAAAAATTAATCTCATGCATCCTAGTTTAAAAAGCAGAAGTCCAATAGCTCTGATTTTTCATTACGCTATAGTACTGAGACTGGGAAATGAGCTTACTCAACGGAGAAATCCCAGCAACAACCGTCTAAAAGTCAGCCTCTGACCTGTTTATTTTCCTTGCTTTACTAAAGGAACTAGCTTGCTCTTCACATATTTTCAGGAAAAACACAAATGAACAACTTTCGTCAGTTTTTGGCAAATTAAACTCTTTATGCAGGCAAATGTTGGCTTTTCTCATTTTTCTCAGAAGATGGGCTTAAAATGTTGACAAGGTAGGCTTAAAAACATAGGATTATTTTAAAAAAAAAACAAACCACAAGAGTATATTGATATTTGTCTTTCAATAGGAATACACATTTTTAGCAGAGATGACCTTTGATTTTTTAAAGTAACAAAAATATCTAAAACTCCGTCCCTTGGGGTATGTGAAATGTTCACAGAGCCCATGACTATGCCTGGGGATTAGTGAGGGTATTTCAGGAGGCCTTTGTTTCTGAAAGCAAACAGCTGATGCTGAAATTCCTGGGATTCTTCAGTGGCAATTATAGCTAGCTTTGCACGAACACAGTTTTCTGTTAAATCACAGATAATTCTTTTCTTATGTGACATTTCACTTATAATAATCAATAGCTGCTACCAAAAAAAAAAAAAAAAAA